ATTGGAAGTTTTAGCCACAGCAATTAGACATAAAAAATAAAATAAAAGGGATCCAAATTGGAAAGGGGAAGTGAAACTGTCATTATTTGCAGATGACAGGATATTGTACATAGGAAACCCTAAAGACTTCATAAAAAATCTATTAGATTTAATGAACGAATTTGATAAAGTAGCAGGATACAAAATTAACATCAAGAAACCAATGGCATTTTTATACACTATTAATGAACTCACAGAAAGAGTGAGTTATATTGCAGCAAAAAAGTTAAGATACCTAGGAATAAACTTAACCAAAGAAGTAAAGGACCTATTTGCAGAAAACTACAGGACATTGGAAAAAAAAAAAAAATAGAGGAAGATATTAAAAAGTGAAAGCATATACCTTGTTCATGGATTGGAAGAATTAACATCATTAAAATGTCCATACTACCCAAAGCAATCCATAGATTCAATGCAATCCCCATTAAAACACCAATGACATATTTCACAGAACTAGAACAAATACTTCAAAAATTTATATGGAACAGAAAAAGACCCCAAATAGCCACAGCAACCTTGAAAAAGAAGGACAAAGTAGGGGGGAATCACAATACTAGATATCAGGTTATACTACAAAGCCATTGTAATCAAAACAGCCTGGTACTGGCACAAGAACAGGCATAGAGATCAATGGAACAGAACAGAGAACCCGGAAATTGACCCAAGACATTATGTTCAATTAATTTTTGACAAACATAGCAAGAGCATACAATGAAGGAAAGACGGCCTCTTCCATAAATGGTGCTGGAAAAATTGGACAGCTACATGCAAAAGAATGAATCTAGACCACCAAATTACACCATACACAAGACTAAACTCAAAATAGATAAAAGGCTTAAATGTGACTCATGAATAAAAATCCTAGAAGAAAATGTAGGTAACAAATTTCAGGCATCACACACAGCAGAATTTTCACTGATACAACACCTAAGGCAACAGAAACAAAGGAAAAAATGAACACATGGGACTACATCAAACAAAAAGGCTTTGGCACAGCAAAAGAAACAACCACCAAAATGGAAAGGCAACCCAGTGAAAGGAAGACAAAATAATCTAATTAAAATGGGCAGAGGACCTAAATAGATACCTCTCCAAAAAGAATATACAAATGGCCAAGAGACATGAAAAAATGTTCACTATCACTAATCATCAGAGAGATGCAAATTAAAACAACTATGAGGTATTACCTCAAACCTGCCAGAATGGCTGCCATCAACAAATCATCAAACAAGTGCTGGTGAAGAGGTGGAGAAAAGGGGACTCTAGTACACTGCTAATGGGAATGCAGACTGGTGCAGACACTATGGAAAACAATATGGTGTTACCTCAAAAAGTTAAAAATTGAACTGCCATTTGACCCAGTGACCCCACTTCTAGGAATATACCCTAAGAAGCCTGAAACACCAATCAGAAAGAATATATGCACCCCTCTGTTCATAACAGCACTATTTACAGTAGCTAAGATCTGGAAATAGCCCAAGTGTCCATCAATAGATGAATGAATAAAAAGGCTGTGGTACATATACAAAATGCAATACTACACAGCTGTAAGAAAGAAAGATCTCTTATCCTTTGAAATGACATGAAGGGACCTGTCATGGAGAATATTATCCTCAGTGAAACAAGCCAATCAGAGAAAGACAAATATCACATGATCTCACTTATTTGTGGAATATAATGAACAAAACAAGCTGATGAACAAAATAGACCCAGAGATATATGGTTCAGCTTGACAAACCTCAGAGGAGGGGGGCGGGGTGGGAGGGATGAGATAAACCAAATAACTTATATGCATGTATGCATAATCAATGGATATAGATAAGAATGCGGGGGGTGGGGGGCAGGATAAGGAAGAGACTGTCTAGGGGGGAAAAGTAGAGACATATGCAACAAAAATAAATTAATAAAAATTGCCAAAAAAAAAAAAAAAAAAGAGAGAGAGAAAAGGTGAACAATTCTTTAGAATAATTCTTTTGGAAGAATTATCTACATTTTGAGAAGCAAATGTGAAAGTTACATGCCAGTTATACAGAAACTTTAAGGTGTAATATTTTTGCAAGAGATTAAATGCATTCTAATTAAGAAAATTGAAGACATTAAACATCAGAATGAAAATAGAAAAAAATAGTAATACTTTTGTGCAGTGAGGAAAGGATTATCATTTTAGCAAATGGTACTAGGTCAACTGAATATCCGTATTTGCAAAAATAAACCTCCCTCCCCCTAGAATGAAAAATAAGTGTATATAAGGTAGAACAATAAAGTGTTTGAAAGAAAACTTAAGAGAATACTTTCCTGTCCCTAAGGTAAGCAAGTACTTCTTAAAAGAGCAGTTGCAAAGGGAAAAAAGTACTAGTTGTAAAAAAGGAACAAATTGATAAACTGAACTTTATTAGAATTAAGGACTTCTGTTCTTCAAAAGATGCCCGTGAGGGAGAGAAAAGGCAAACCACAGAACGGGAGAAGATACACGCAATAAATACATCCAAGAAAGAACCTGAATGCCAAAGATCTAAAGAATTCATACAAATCAATATAAAAAGAAGCCAATAGCCCTGGCCAGTTTTGCTCAGTGGTTAGAGCGTCGGCCTGCAGTCCGGAGAGACCCAGGTTCGGTTCCCTCTAAGGGCATGTACCTCAGTCGCAGTTTGTCCCCGGCCCTGGTTGGTCGTGTGGGTGGCAGCCACTCGATGTGTCCCTTCACGTCGATGTTTCTCTCTCTCTCTCTCTCTCTCTCTCTCTTCCTCTCTCTCCCTCCCACTCTATCTGTACAAAAAATGGAAAAATGTCCTCAGGTGAGAATAAAAAAAAAAAAAAAAAAGAAGCCAATAGTACAACAGAAAATGGGTAAAGAATTGAATAGACACTTCACAAAACAAGTTAACCAAATAGCCAGTAAGCATCTGAAAATGTGCTCAATTCATTAATCTTCAAGGTAACACAAAGTAAGCCCCCAGTGTGCTATACCACTACACAGGTACCAGATTGCTATAATTTAAAAGACATTAAATACAAAATGTTCTGAATGATGTGGAGCAAATGAAATTCCCATCCTTTACTAGTGGGCGTATAAATTGGTACAATAATTTTGAAAATTTATTTGGCTTTCTTATGATCTAGCAACTCGACTCCTAAATATATTCTCACTATAAATGCTTGCATTTGTTCACCAAATTACATGTATAAGATAGTTCATAGAGGCACTATTTGTAATAAAAATGGATACACTCAATTATAGAATAGATGCAATTCACAGAAAAGAATACTGTAATCAAATGAGGATGAATGAACTATTGCTACACTCAACAGCATGAATGGTTCTTGCAAATGAAGGTGGGCAAAAGCAATAATAAAAACACACACTGTTGAATCCATTCACTGAAAGTTTAAAAATAGGTAAATAATTTTTGGTGTGAGAAGTCAATAGTGATTATTCTTAAAGGGTGACAGGGTGGAAGGGATCACTAGAGCCAGAAGACAAGAGAGGGGCTTCCAAGGTGCTGGTAATGTTTTTTCATCTGTTTCCATTTTGTAAAAATCTGATAAACTGTACTTACGATTTGTGCACTCCTCTGCATTTTTAAAAAATGTCAATTTAAAAGTTTGCAAAACAACAACATAAGAGCCAATTTGAAGGTGCTCTCACTGATCTAAGATGGATCAATGTGAACAACAGAAAGGATAAGATTGACAATGTATGAAACAGACCAAATATATTAAAATCATAGAATTTATAATAAAACTAGGAGAAACATCATCAGTACTCTTTGAGATGGCAAATGCACCAACTCATTATTCTAAAAACTGATAAAATAAAGAGAAATAATCAAGTATAACTTGTCTTTCCTGTATGAATTATATTGCAGGGTAATCAAATAGTTAATTAGAGCCCTGGCTGGTTTGGCTCAGCGCTTAGAGCCTTGGCCCATGGACCAAAGAGTCCCAGGTTCAATTCCTGCCAAGGGCACATACCTTGGTTGCAGTTCGTCCCTAGCCCTGGTCGGGGTCATGCGGGTGGCAGCCAGTTGCAGTTGGTATGTCTCTCTCACATCGATGTTTCTCTCTCTCTCTCTCTCTCTCTCTCTCTCTCTCTCTCTCTGTGTGTGTGTGTGTGTGTGTGTGTGTATGTGCGTGTGTCTCTCTCTTTCTCTCCTCTCCCCCCTCCCACTATATCTGAAGATTTTGAATATGTGTGTGTGTGTGTGTGTGTGTGTGTGTATTCCTCAGGTGAGGATTGAAAAAAAGTTAATGAGAGAACATTATTTTTAGTTGAAGATCCCTGATAATAAATGCAAAAATAATAGAATTAAAAATTCACCATGTCATTACCCATAATGAAATAATGGTATATATCTGCTGATGTAATAAGAAACCTACAGTGTCACCTAAATGAACCCAAAACTAATCAGGTCTCTGTCTTTAAATGTCACTTTATAGGAAATATGATAAAATAACATATTAAATGAATTCCAAGCATGTAATTAGCCATGATCAGAATGTAGAAAATTTACAGGGAAAATTACCTGATCTCTTAAAAAAATAAATATCCCAAGAGAAGAGATAAGGAGGAGAGGGGTTGCCTATCCTAGATTTAAACTTAAGGAAGATAGTGATGAAATCAGTTTTTGAACTTATTTGAATCTTGATTCAAACAAGCAAACTATTAAAAGATATTTTTAGATAATCCAGAAATGTTTAATGGAATGGATATTAGGTGTCATTAATTAATGCTAATTTGTTATAGTTATGTTTTTAGAAATCATTATCTGTTAGAAATATTATTGAATGATTTATGGATGAAATGACATAATGTCTGGTATTCACTTTAAAATTCTCCAGCAAAGGAAAAGAGGTAGTGATTTATGAAACGATTTTGGCCATTGACAACCATTGGTCCCCTCGAGTGTATCCACAGTGGTTCACTTGTGAGTCTGTTTAAAATTGTATACACAAAGACTTACCCCATCTCTTGCTTTCACCAGGAGATCATAGGTAGCTGGATCCCTTTCCCTGTCCATATCTTGAGAAACACAGATCTGCCCATCATGTGGGTCAATCTGGAAGGCGCGAGGTGCTTCGTAGCTTTGGAATCCATCATAAAGAGAATACGTGACCAAGCCATAGAGTCCTGTGTCCGCGTCGGAGGCTTTTACCTATGAGACAGGAGGTTGACCAGTGAGGAAACAGAAATGCTAGCATCACTGTTCAATTGGTCATAAATTACCATCACGATCTACACAACCAAGTAACCCCCACAGCTATTCACAGTGTAGGCTTTGGTTTTGCATCTCTTACCTTCTGAGACAACTCCCCCTCACCTTCGTCCTCTCTTTGTGAGTTCTCCTTTTCAGTCTCCTCTGCCCATTCCTTTACTTTCATGGGATCTCTAAAAGTTTGAGTTCCTTGGGGCTCAGTCCTTGGTTCTTTTGCCTCCTTATTCTCTCACTATATCTTAGTGATGTCATCCAATCTCGGGTTTAAAAACATCCACATGCTAACAATTTGACAACGTATCTGTGAATTCCCTCTCATACCGAAGCCCTTTAAGTGATGGGTTCAATACCTGCCCCCACCCTTTCAGAACATCAACGGAAGGGCAGCAAAATCAAGGTCATAGGTGGCACGATTACGAGTAATTCATCCTACTGACAGAATTCATCCTGGAGTATGAGGTTTGAGTTTCCAAGCCAAGGTTCCTTGAAGAAGTAGTGCCCCCTTCAGAGCCCCACAGAGTCGTGCAGACTGAGTCCTGTCCAGAGGCCCCATGACCAGCGGGGCAAGGGGATGAGATCCAGCCCATCCTCTGCTCACCAACACACACATTGACATGGAGCAGTAACTTCCCAGAGGAAAGGGCACCTTTCTCTTCAACCATAAGTACCTTTTATGTTAGCAGTAGTTATGTGCCAGGTAGAAAAGATGAAGCAACTGGAACTATGAAAGCATTTAAATTTATTTACACTAACTGTGGGAGTATTTCGTGAGAAATACAACAGGCTATATAGGACTCAAAATATTTTTTGAGCTCATAGGCTCAGTATAATTCTTACGATTTGCAACCCAATTAACAGCAAACATCTAAATAGCACTTACAATAAAAGAAGAACTTTAAGGGAAGATCAACCAAAAAAAGAAAGAAAAAAAAACCTATATGCTATAGAACAGGTACTATCCTAATTGCTTAACATGCATTACATACTTATAACCTATAATGAACTCCCCTTTACAGATCCAAAAAGTCAGGCTCAGGGAGCTGAAGTTACTTGCCAAAGAACACATAGCTAGTGAGTGTCAAAACTGGCACTCAGACCCAGGCAGTTGGACAGCTGAGGACATGCTATTAAGAATTACACTATTCTACCTCCCAAGTCTTACCCCTTGTCAGTTCATCCTTCATTTACTGAAAAGAAAAATAACTCTCACATTTCCTGACCTTCCTCCAGTGCAGAACTTGTCAGAGTGTGTGCAATACCATTCCAAGTCACTGTTTACTTAATATGCACATGGCTTTCTCCCCAGAATAGCATTAGCACGAAGAAAATCAACTAGCAGAAAAGCCTGTGCTCTTGAGTCTTTGCTGAATCCTCTATTCCATGTGGTCAGATTCCAACTAGGTTCTCCAAAGTAGAAAACTAGATACAGTGATAACAACTGGAAATAAAAGAGAATTAAGCAGATCACTTGGCATCCAACATCCAACTAATAAACATCTCATAAAAAGAGAATAGAGAACAGAGAAAATGTAAGAAAGGAGCAGCTAGTGCCTTGGTTCATAGGACACGTATGGAAGAGGTACTCTTGTTTTTAATGTCCTCACCCATCGAAGTTAAATTCAGCTCATATTATCACTGGACCGAACTAGCTTCATGGCCCCAACCTGACTGGAAGAGTGGAGGACCACAAAGGTGTTTGGTGAAGACAAGCAATGTCTGCCACAGGTGCTTCTGTATGTTCATATGGAAACAAGCATGGAAGATTATGTAGGTCTCTAAGTAGCCTCTATTATGCCGTGACATTTAAACAAGTGGAATAGACGAGGCTCCCCAGGGTGATCCTACTACAAATTCAGTTTGGGCAGTCCTACATAGTTCCGCACGGTTTTTTGGAGGAAGGCAAAATAGAAGACAATCACCTACATTGTTAGTATTTCTACTGTACTCATTTAACTCGATTGAAAAAAAATCGATCTACTCATCATTGATACAATATACATGCAGGAGCTATACTGTCATTACTATGTTTCCCAAACAAAACCCTAACCCAATCACATGTTCAACAACCAAAGTTCTCAGTTAGCCAGGCCCTTCCTCCCATTCTACCTTGAGCACATTACTGGAATGTGACTTTGGGGGCTATTGTGTAGTCTAGCCCAGTGGTTCTCAATCAGGGGCAAGTTTGCCTCAACAAGACATTTGGCAATGTCCTGAGACATTTTTGATTGTCAGCATGGGGAGGGTGCTGCTGGCATCCAGTGTGTTGAAGCTGGAGATGTTCCTACACATCTTAAAATGCACAGGACAGACCCCACAACAAATAATCCTCAGGCCCAAATATAAATAGTTCGTAGGTTGAGGACTCCTACACCTGATGAAACTCTTAACAATTGGCAATATTACTTTCCTCTTTAATTGTCTTAAATTTTTTTTAACTAATGACACAGTCTTTTAAATTTATCTTCACTCTCATCTATCATATTCTCTGGCCAAATTTCATGCTGTGCAACTAGTTAACATGTTTGTGAGTTATTCTTCTCATCAGATGGGCTGAACCAGGAAACCCACAAACTTCCCCACTACAAAGGACTAAATTCCAAGTACATTTGGTCTCTTCCATTCTGGCAGCTGTTAATGATTTAGTAGCCTCAAATTCCCAAAGACACCAAATATATCTTCTAAAACCATATGGTATTCTCAATAACGTTGGCTTGATTGGAAGATAATAAATACAATGAACTTCGAATTCTAAAACTCATTCTCAGCCTTTAATAGTGCATATTAACAAGTAATTTAGCTTATAAAAAACAAGTTTCCTTAGTTCCACTTTTTTGTCATCTGGACTTTTGGCAAAGCAAAATATAAAGAGTCAAAAGTGAGACAAGAATACTGATCTCAGTTTATGTTAGCAGTTTGGATTCTGCGTTTCTGAATCATAAAATAAGAAAGTATTCCTCCCTGTTTTTACTCAACCCCCTAACCCTATTGACCTAATATTCCACAATAACATATTTCACCTACTAATATTTGGTCTTAAATGCCTATAATTAATTTGGCATCTTTATAAGGTCTCTATTTCTCAATATCCATTGACTGACACATAAAATGAAGGCAATTTAAAGAAAAGGAAATAGAAATGGATTTTCCAAATCTTCAAGAGGAAATCTTGCTTAGTGAGTAGCTCAGTGGGCCTTTTCTTCTGAAATAGCTGCTTAAATCAAAGAATCAGCGAGGCACATGATCGGTGTCTGTTATCACAATCTTATGGTGCTAAATGGGGGATCTAGAGCTCAGGAGGGTTTTATCCCTGGATCTACTCAAAGAGCCACATTCTGGTACTCTCAGTGACGTGCCTGTGTTCCTCATCTCAGCCTCAGTTTACCTGTTGTAGGCTGAGATATACTTGATGATTTTACTTTAAAGTTATTCCAACTCAGAGATGTTCTCCCTTAGCCTGCTTTGTAACAGATTCAATGGAGACATTATAAAAATGCAGAATATTAGTATGATAAAAATATCTCCCTGATTCCATTATTAGATTCCTGAAATTTGAAGAATTTTACCACTTCCTTAAGTGTTAAAGAAAAGATATTCCTTTTACAACTGGGTAAGGGTTCTTCTATATGAACGTGTCGTGGAAACAGGAGACAAAGTGAGAACACTGTCTCTTGAAAGCATGTTTGCATGTTCTCTAGTCAGTGGAATGGCTCTGTTTGCACTTCTCTCATCAAGAGTATCCTCCCCTCACGTAGGAAGGTCTTCAACAACTGGGCAGCCCTGTCAGAGGTCACTTGAGCAGCCAATCACATCAACACCCCAAAATTCAAAAGTCAACCCAAAGTCATAGGGCTATATAGTGTCAATCATATCATTTAATTCAGCAATGTTTATAGAAAAGCCTTAGAGCTCAATTTTTAAAAAGAAGCAGCCCAGCCAGTGTGGCTCAATGGCTGAGTGTGGTCCCATGAACCAAGAGGTCGCCAGTTGGATTCCTAGTCAAAGCACATGCCCAGGTTGTGGGCTCAATCCCCAGTAGGGGGCGTGCAGGAGGCAGACAAGAGATGTTTCTCTCTCTCTCTCTCTCTCTCTCTCTCTCTCTCTCTCTCCTTTTCCCTCTAAAAAAAATCAATAAAACATATATTAAAAAAACAACAACAAAAAATCCTAGAAAGAAGTGGCTGCACTTTAGATGAAATTTAAAATTAAGTAACTCACTTTAATTTTTTCTTATTGTAATTTTCAAAATGATATGCTATATCCATGAGCATATATAACCGTTCATTTGAAGAAACAAAGTTATTGACACAACACAATCATACGTAGAACTTGAAACAAAAATAAGGGGAAAAAAGAAATCACAAAATAGCTTTTTGTGTTTGAAGCACTTGGCCAATCACTGACCTTACAGTTAAAACAGGATTAATCCCTTGTGAAAAGTTGGATTCAGCATTGGGACCACAACGGATGATCCCCATATGTAAGTATGCCACTTTCTGAACACAATTTTGGCAACTTCAGCAATGACCTGTGTCTTTCCAAATCTAATAATCAAGGCTGGGTCCTTATTTTCTATACATTCAGTCACTCCTAACAGTTAATCATCTTCTTCTTGGAAAATTTTCTCATCAGACCCACACTCTAACTCTCTGTCTCCTTCTATTCCTGTTTCCTTTACTGGCTGAGTCCTCTTTCCAGCCTCTGAACATGATAGCACCCTAGAGCTCAGTCTCCTGATCACTTCTCTTCAGTCCACACCCACTGCCTGTAGTGGGCACTGCCCATTGTGGGCAACTCTAATAAACTGATGAGCATTGTATCTTAACCATCAGAACACTCCTTCTGCAGCTTAGGAGAACATCCCTCGTCTTGTCTGTTTGCACTAGCCTGTAACCCGTGTTCTCCTGCAGCACTTGTTTCGGTTCATATTTTCTTTTTCCTCC